AACAATGCTTTCTTCTTGACAATTAGGTGGATTTAAAAAAATCTCTTCTGGCATACTTGACTCAATGGCTGCCTGTTAATCTAGTACATAGCACATAGGAAGAGCAGTCTCTGGCCTCTGACTTAAAACTATTTGTCTCAAGCCAGAGAACTGAGACCACATGACTCAGTTTCCATTAGCTGTGTTTGAAAATTCAAATGACTCAGAGAATTTGGATGCTGGGATTTAAATATTCTGCAAAAGTGAAGCCACACCCACGGGTTCTCAATTATACAATGTTGCACTGGAAAATATATCTCAGTGGTGTCTTTTGAAATCAGTCTTGTAACCAAACATGATCCCCACCAAATATGAATTCTTCACACAACTTGGCTAAATCGTTAGAAGAGTTAATGTTGTACATTCACTTTCTCTTGTTAATTCAATCAACAAAAGTGAATCAGATACCTGTTACAGGGAAGGCACAGCATCACATAGACACAGGAGAAAGGGAGGTAGATAAAACGCTGCTCTCTTTCTGCAGCTCATTATTTAGTGGCAGAGCATTATGATGGGGGAAAATGGGAGAATTTACTGTACTAGGCTGCTTTATTCTTCCTGTCATTAAGTTCTTAAAATAACCCTGTAAGATAAGTATGTAAAAAATTCCCAGTTTGCTGTCAACAATGAGTTCCTTTGAAGACTGAATGGAATCACGCTTATTTGGTTGGCAGGGACAAGGTGCCAAAGGGAGAGATTCATTCTGGCTAGGATTGGGACACCAGGGAGCTGTCACTGAAACCCCATGGTCCAAGTTCAGCAGCTTATGGATCCCAAAGAAGGAGGAGAGGCCCAGGCCAAGCAAATGCTTAGAATAAGATGATGTGGAGCAGTTCTTTAAGATCTGGGAGCAGAAAGGGGTTGGTGCACAAAGTCATAAGGGGCTTCAGGGAAGAGTGATGGCCAAGCAGTGATGTCTAGTCTGACCTCTGTGGATGGACCCCTCTGAGACCTCTCAAGGGCATGTCCTTGAGAAGCCAAGGTCAGAGAGCTCGTGAGTCAGGCTTGCTGGACAGTGCTGAGTACAGTGGGAGCTGACCGGAAGGCAGAAGCTGGGATTGGCTTCTCACCCCTCAGTCGTTGCATGGCCTTTAAGGATTATGGGTTCCTTGACACGTAGAATGCAAAATTAGCCTGTGACTCAGCAATGCCATTCTTAGGGATGTGCCCCAAAGACCAAGGGTAGGCATTCACACAAATACACGGACCTACACACTCACAGCAGCCGTACGCATGGCACCCGATGGTGGATGGCTGCAGCCCACACGTGCCTCAGTGGAGGAATGGGCACACACATAGGCCCAGCAGCCCTCATCCACAGAGAGGGAAGAAGCTCCAGGACGTGCTCCACATTCTCCATGCTAGGAGAAAGAATGTGGATGTAAAATGCTACTTTTTCTTTCTTAAAGACTTATTTATGTATTTGGTCCAGGGTCTTGATACACAGCTCAGGCTTGTAGTGATCCTTCTGTTTCAGCCGCCCCAGTGCTGAAATTACAGGCTTGTGCCACCATACCCAGTCTCAGCGGCTGGCACGGTGCTGCACTGGCACTGCATGTGGTAGCAGGGATCAAACCCCGGTCCTTGCACTTGCCAGGCAGGCGCTTAGACCACCAAGCTATCTCCCCAGCCCCAAAAATGCCACACTTTATGTGATTTTATTGATCTGAAACTTCAAGAATAGGTAAATCCAAAGGGAGGGCTTTAGAGGAGGAGGAGAAGAGGAAGAGGAGGAGGATGGAGGAGAAGGAGAAGAAGAAGATGGAGAAAAAGGAGACTAAGGAGAAGGAGAAGAAGGAGAAGGAGAGGAAGGAGGAGAGGAAGGAGAAGGTGAGGAAGGAGAAGGAGACGACAGAGAAGAAGGAAAAGAGGGGAGGGGAAGAGGATAAGGAGGAGGGGAGAGGGAGAGAGAGGAGGTAGAAGGGGAACAGGTGGAGAGGGAGGAGGAGAAGAAGAAGAAGGGGGAGGGAGGATGGCACGTCAGCAGCACTGGTGGAAGGTGAAATAGGAAGTGACAGCTTAATGGGCGTGGGGTCTCTGTCTGTGGTGATGGAGGAGTCCCAGAGCCAGACAGCGGTGATGACTGCAAATCTTGGGACTGTACTGAAAGGGGCTCAATGATTCTCTTAAAACTGTTAATGATTGATTTTGCTATATTTACTTCAATAAAAAATGAAATCAAAAGGAGATTTATAGAGTTGGCCTCTGCTTTTATAGATGGAGAGAGAGGACCAAGAAGGGCATATAGGATAAGTATGGGCGCCTGTGGTCACATAGGCCTGTGACCTAGGATAAGCTTACCACTGCCCCTCTTTGTCTCAGCAGTGGAACCCACCTTTGCCAGGCTGTTTCCTCACAGGTAAGATGTGGGTGCTGTACCAGATTGCTTTGCAGGCCCTTCTGACTCCAAGAAGCACCTGCCACATGTGCTGAGCCTGGCAGCATGCCACTCCCAGGCACTTATACTGCTGAGCTATCTCCCCAGCTGCACCTTGGATTTGCACATCTGGAAAAAGGACTGTGGTGGCCAGAAGAAGGTGAGGCTGGGGCACTGCTTTCAGAGCACCATGACCAAGAAGATCCTGGAGAAATCCCAAAATCCAAAAGGAAAGCAGGCTGGTGGTAGACTCTCTTGACTTCTAAAATCCTTGCTCTCTTTCCATCCATCAAGTCTTTTCTAAATTTTTATTTATAATTTTTTTTTTTATGTATTTGGTACAGGATCTCACTATGCAGTTTGGACTTGTAGTGATCCCCCTGTTTCAGTCTCCCTGGTGCTGGGATTACAGGTGTGCCTCACCATGCCTGGTCTTGGTGGCCAGCTTGGTGCACCCAGGATGG